CCCCGTGTAAACACAGCTCTAAGCACTTTACATACATGTAAATGCATGTACGAACAATATTCACGCACGCGACGCACACACGCACACACATAATATTATAAAATACACACTCACACACACACACACACACACACACTCACACACACACACTAACACTAACACACACACATACACACAAACACACACTCACACTCACATTACAAGCAAGCTCTGGAGCATGGATATGCGCTATATAAATGCAATTATTATTATTATTATTATTATTATTATTACACGCACACATGTGCACACACACATTACCCCTGGTCTGTCGCTGATCAGGCATAATATTATTTTGTGTCCATTGCTCTGGCTTTGTGGTCTTGTCGAAGGACACGGCTCAGTGGTCTCTCACTCACTTGAAAGACACAGCTCGTGTCACTCACTTACATGAAGGAAACAGCTCACTGGTCACTTTTTCCACTGAAGCCCTGGTCACTAACTCACTCCAAGGACATAGCCGAGTGGTCACTGACTCAAAAACGCTGTTGTCACTGATATGGCTTACCGTGTATTTGAAAGCCTGTTTTTTAACCACCAGAATACTTGATGGCTTTCAGAACAATGAGCGTTATCTTAGAGACCAGCACAGTAAAGATCCATTAACCTTAGAAAAGAGTCGTGTGGCTGGAGAGTCTTAAAGAGTTCCACAGAGATCAAGGCAATTTTTTAAATTAAACAAGGAATGCTACAATATTCCCGTACTGCAGACCTACTTGAACTCATTTGAGCGAACTGTGTTTAATTGATGCTTCTTAATGTATTCACGAAACTTGAATCCCCCTAAAAGATCAGAATTATTCATTTCACTTTGTTTCCTTAGAAACTCGAGGAAATTTTTAATATATTTTATTAAATATTGTTATCTCCAATAATGCAATCAAGTATAATATGTAGACACGATGTTTAGCTAAATTGACTTAATTTGCTCGCACTCACAATGTTTTTAGTACCAAGTCCATCTCCCCCCTCTCTTCTCTCTCTCTCTCTCTCTCTCTCTCTCTCTCTCTCTCTCTCTCTCTCTCTTTTTTTCTCTCTCTCTGTCTCTCTCTCTCTGTCTCTCTCTGTCTCTCTCTCTTTTCCCTTCTTTCTCTCTATCTGTGTATGTGTGTGAGCATGTGTGTGTACTCGTATATATGTGCGCGCGCACACGTGTGTGTGTGTGTGTGTGAGTGTCTGAGTGTGTGTGCGTGTATGTGTCAGTGTGTCTGTGTGTGTGTTTGAATGTGCGTTTGTGTGTGTGAGTGGTTGTATGTGTGTGTGTGTGTGTGTGTGTGTGTGTGTGTGTGTGTGTGTGTGTGTGTGTGTGTGTGTGTGTGTGTGTGTGTGTGTGAGTCATTCTTCTCTGTGTCTTTATCTCTCGATTTCTCTTTCTCTCCGTTTTCCTCTGTTTGTCTCTCACGTTTTAACTTCCACAATTGTTATATACACAAGCAGAGCCCGCAACCACACATTACGTAAACCACATTTAAATTTAAATTTCTCGCTGGCGACAAAAACCAACCTTAGTAAAGGTACTTCTTTATGATAACATAATATTATGTGTTTTTTGTTTGTTTGTTTAGTATAGGGTTTTACGGCGCTCGCAACTGCATAAGGTCATATGAGCGCGCGGGACACACCTAATA